TTTTTTTTTTTTTTTTTTTTTAATATATGATTTTAACTAATAAGTTAGAAGTTTGAACATCCACCTGAACTACAACTTACTTGGATTATTGCTTAATTAACCAACCGACAAAATCTCACCGGTTAGAAGTCATCCCGACCCTTTTAACATTTTGGGTGATCTTTCATGACTCAATTATACATTCAAGTATACATTGTTGAACCTGAAAAAGTGAAATTGAGCTCAACTAAGAGACACATTTAGCTAACAGATTGCATTTATATAGCATTCATGTAGCTTAGAGCTATAATATGAACCAAAAAAGTACTTGGCTACATACCAATGTGTAGGAAGATACACCGCCAAATATTCTTTGTTCAGTTATTCCATTATATCCACCATCAAAACAAGAATCTCTTTTTGTGTTTGTTTCTTTGAGGCTGGATATCCAAGGAGCTGACATAGAAGATGGATGGTCCAGGTTGAATTTACCATTTCCTGTGAAAACAAAGTAATTTTATTGAAAGTTAGAAAGAGATTAAATGACTGGAGGTCCAGTAAATTACAAGATTCGAACCAGAATTGATCCAGAATCAACGAACACATGATAAAGGCAGCAAGGAACAGCCTCCGATCTTGATGCCTCGACGATCCTGATCCATCGTCTGAAGGGTCATTATCTTCATCTCTGGAAGATGATCCTATTTCCCAATCATAACTCTCTCCTCCTATAACTTGGTTGCTCTCTAGCTCTAGATACATTAGACCAACTGCTGCTCCTTCTACCGGATTCAGGTCTAAAAACTCGAATAAGGAAAAAAACTGTGAGCCAGCCCCCATCATCAATGGGCAAAATACTATCCCCATCAACCCTATCCTCTCCAAATGATGTTTGTAGTGTGCCAAGAAGATCTCCCAGGTCCCTTTGTCGCTCAAGTCGTCTCCAATTATGCTGTCATTCTCGGTCGACTTCTGATGGACGAACAAGAGGACACTCCTTCCTTGCGTGCTTCCTAAGATCTGTATAGGTTCTACTGAAGTTACATGTCTCACAAGAACAACTTCTTGATTTTGCATTCATGAACTGACGAGCATGCTCATCAACAACCCACTTTTTTACCTTCCCTCGGCACAAAGGGCATACCAGCTTTAGCTGCATCTGATTCTCACAAGATGTAGTTTGTTCATCAGCCACAGGCTCAAATTCCACAATGGGGGAAGAGTTTACTGTTGGGAACTATACTTGGATATATTTTTTTAAATAAAAATTTATAGCAGGTTACAATTACATGATCGGCAACCAAGTTTACATGCAAAATTAAGCGAAGTGTCGTATGATTGGAAAACCTACCATCTTGCTGCATTTAGCATACATATCGACCAGACTTGTCCAAAGAGAGGTGCTGGCAGAGTCGAAGTTTATGATTATATAAACATGTATAGCTGCTCATGTGAGTGTAACCTCTGATCATTAAAGTCCATGAGACCACATCCCTTTCAGGCATATCGTCAAACAACTCACGAGCAGTCTGAAGATCACAATAAGTGCATTAACAAGCTTAAGATTCGAATGAAGCCCAAAATCTTCAATCCAAAAGCGTGTCGAGTTTCCAAAATCTAGAGCATTTGACTTAGCACAAGCAGAAAGAACAGAGACGGGTGACATTTGCCTTCCTCGTTTCTTCAAACCTTAACGATCCCTCTTGGATCGACTAGTTTGCCCATAGCCAGCAACCATAGCATTCCAAGACACCACGTCTCTGACAGGCATTTCATCAAACACTTTCCGTCGCGATCCGTGTTACCCCACATAGCGTAACCCGCAATTAGTGCAGTGAAAGAAATTGCATCCCTTAAATTACTTTGATCAAACACCAAATGGGCATTGTTCACTCCACCGCTCTGCACACACATACTAACGAGCGAATTATGAATATACACATCAAACCAAACCCAAGCTTCAAGACCTACGCACGAATCTGTTTCCCTTCACGGGCAGAGGCTAGCTTCGCGCAAGACTTCAATAGAAAAGGAAAAGTATAAGAATCCCGCTTAACTTCCGTGGAATCATTTTTCGACAGAATTAGAGAGCGAGATGGTGTAGGAGATATCGCCGAAGCGCAAAAGATAAGGGTCGTTATTATTTGAAATGTAGTTGTACGGACCTTACCCGCCAAAGACAAGTGCCAATTAGAAATTGATTTTTTTTTTTTTTTATTATTTAGTTTTGGACTTTAAATTATTTTTAATATATTTAAATTACATTTAAAGAAAGGGTAAAATAGGGGTTAAGGATATGAAAAGCCAAATAAGAAATGGAAAATTGGAATATTCAGATTGGGGGCATATATATAAAGGGATCTTTGCTTTGAAGTGTTGGGATGAGGATTCTCGAAGTATTATTAAAGGGGTTTGCCTTTTCTTTTTCAAAACACTCAATTATTTTATTTTATTTTATTTTTTTACAAACAATAATAATAATAATAATAATAATGGAAAATGAGAATCAAGAGAGTTTTGGGAATGAAAGGGCATTTGCATTTGCATTTGTCTAAGGTTTTCATGTTTAATTGGAATATTCACCTTGTCTCTCTCTGGCTATTACATTTTTGTCCTTACCTTTATTCCTTTTATTTTTTATTCTTCCTTATCAAATGCTAGGTCAAACTTAGCCAACCCTATGTACGACCGCCACGTGTACCATTGTATATTTATTAATAGCTCCGTTACATACCTGCATGCACATGTAGAAAATAAATAAATAAATATATAGATATTTTTGGAGACGATAAAATTTATAAGTATTCCCAAATTAAAAAAATAAAAAAATACAATAAAGTAATAAATCACTTTTTTGATATTTCTGTATAGTTCTCACGCTGACCCACGAACTCCACCCAGCGTCGGTTCGCCGCAATCCCAATTATTCCAATTTAATTATTGTCAACTTTTCTTAACTTTAATCCATATTATTTTCCTCCTAACGTCAAAGAATTGTCATTTAAAAATTAAAACATCATATTAAAACTAGGAAATCTAAATTTCATCAATTAAACAAATTATCTTGCTTAAAAAAACTTTTTTAATTCTATTTTAATATCTACAAATTTTATATATTTTTATTTTAGTTCTTCAATTTTATATAAAATATTATTTTATTAGTCGGTAATGAACCCCAAAACCTTACCGGACACATAAATTTATTAAAGTAGTTCGATATCAAATCTATGTTTTTGTTCACTTTAAAGCATTTACACGATTCACCTATATAGAATACTCATTAAATAAATATATATTTTTTTTCGTAAACTTAGCTTGGTATGATAGGGTAAATTGAAATATTAATAGATATGTCATGTCATATCAATATTATTGCTAACCGTATATGTAACCTTCTAAGCTCATAGCTAACAAACATTGTCTGGTTTGATTTATTACGTATTGACGTCAACTTCACAGTTTTAAAACGTGTTACTAGAGAGAAATTTTCACACTCCTATAAAAAATGTTTTGTTCGTTTCTCTAATCAACATGGAATCTCGTCGGTAAGAGTCATTGTGAAAATCGAATTTGCATATGCATGCCATATAAGTTAAGCAATGGGAGTGGCCATCTTTTTGTTGAATTTATTGAAGGAAGAGAAATTTGGAGGGTTGATGGATGAGCACTTAATAAATAGGAATACATTCCAATAGAAAATAGGAAGGGGCAAATATATTAATAATTCCCCAACAAACAAGTTCTTGGAGAAAACAAGTTCTTTGCTTTAATTAACCCCTCCTTTTTCTTTTTATTTTGTAATGAAACTACATGGGGAAGGCTTATTCGTCCCAGTTAGACCAAACAAACGTAATCCAACACAAAGGCATCGTATTCATTAGTTCTTGTACTGTTTGCTGGTGTGTAGCTAGCTAGCTACCACTTTCTACATAAACCCTCATCATCCCAACCTCAATTATATTGAGACGGTGTTTATCGTGGTCACCTTAAAATTTTATATCCTACGTGTTTTCTTCCTAATCAAAGGTAACAAATCAAACACTTCCATAAATAACCCTAACTTCGTCAATTATGAAACTCAAAAATAAAAAAAAATAAAAAATGTTCAACTTCAAGAATCGCGTCACGAGGAAACCATCCGTGTAAAGGCAAAGGAACAAAAGAACAATAGAACGCTACAAGAAGTTGAAGAACTATATAAACCCCCCGTTCCCCCCAGCAAACAATACCAAAATTTAAATCTCCTTCCACCAATTACCCAACACAACCTTCCTTTTCTTCATCAAAGGTGAGTTCTTTATTTTGGAATGAGCTGGTCATCAGGAGACTGGATATGCAACGCTTGCCAGAACGTAAACTTCAAGAAAAGAGAAGCATGCCATCGTTGCGCTTACCCCAAGTATGGAGGTCCTGACCCTTCAACTTACACTTGCAACAACACGGAGGCGTTGGCCGGAGACTGGTACTGCACCACCCTCACCTGCGGAGCTCACAATTACGCTAGCCGCCCCAACTGCTTTAAATGTGGTGCGTTCAAGTCCGCCTATCCTTCTGACTGTGCTGCCTATCAGTATGGATCTGATGCAACTATCCCGCCTGGATGGAAATCCGGAGACTGGATTTGCCCAAGGTACGCACACTCAACAATCTGCATTATTTTCACCTATACAACACTTCAAATTCCTTACCCAAAACCATAATGCTGTGTTCTACAGAATGGGATGCGGAGTGCATAATTATGCAAGCAGGACGGAGTGTTTTAAATGCAAAACGCCAAGAGATTTCGGTAAGTTCATATCAATTACAATATTTGATGCTGTAGCTCAGTTGGGTCTGTAATACAACTCTGGGCGCTGCAGGTGCTGCAGTTTAAAGCGAGAAGGAATTTTGGAAGACTCTGTTTATGCGATTATATCGCCTACCTGGCATCTGATTCCTATCAAAATGCTGCCCTTTTCTTTTTTTTAATGACTAACAATAATAATGTAAGCACTTAGAATAGGCCCATATACTTCCTCCACGATCGTTGTAACACAAGCAGTTACTTGGTTAGGAATTATGGTATGATATTATTCACTTTGAGCATAACCTTTCTCTCCATGGCTACTATCTATCTCAAACAGAACTGAATGAGATGTGAATGGTGGCTTTATAAACACAAAATCAAATTGAAGCAGGAGGAAAGGTTAAAGATTCAGAATCTGTGTGAATAGCAGGCAGGTTCCTAAGAAGATAAGACTCATAATCTCAAAGAAATAAGTTGTTAAAATAGATAAGAACCAGATGCCCCGCTTCAATGGACATTAATGGAAAACACCCTTCTAATAATCACCCTCAAATTCTGAGTCAAACTCAACTCTAATTTTGTGGCTGCAAACAAGATTTTGTTTATTTTGAAGATTCCAATTAACTTATCATGGAAAATTCTTACCTGAACTTGTTCATCGTCATCATTTTGCTCATCCACTGTTCTTGCTTCTCTTTGCTTCACTGAAGTAGGCTTGTTTTGATTTTGTTTTGTTTTGTTGGTTGGATGACGTTGGTGAATTTTCAAGTGAGGGGATTTGTGAAGGAGAATTGGACACCTCAGAACCACGTAGTTCAAAAGAATGAACAATTATTGCATCCAAATGCTTTTTGAATTTTGATCGCCTTGGATTTCTGATGGCGAACGGCGCAAGAGCATTCCTCACTGTATCCAAATCGACTTCACGACTGCTTCGTCTTCCTCCTGCTTCGTCTCGTTTCTTCCCGCCGTTTAACTCCTCCTTCAATGGAGCAACCTTCTGTTCCTCCACCGGAACCCCTTCCATGTCCATTAATTTACAGTCGCATGCCTTTGCGCGAAACCCTATAAGATCCAAAACCCCCAAACCTGAAAATCCCCTTTCACCCGATTCGTCGTTCGAATCGCTGAAATCGAAGCTTCTGGCGAAAACCCCTTTGCTATCTTCACCAGATTTCAAAATTTTGCCCTTCAGGAAGGGCTGGCCGTTGGTTTCTTGCAATGGTGGGAAGAGGAACGGTGGTTTGGCGTCTGGGTGGGGCCTGGGTTGGATCAGCTTGGCTGATTGCGCAAGTCTATTGGCCTTGTCTGGGTCGAAGGTAACAGAAGATTTGTTGGTTTATCTCGGTTCTTCTGTTGAAGACGATGCTGTTTATTGGGCCACTGATTTCTCTGGCGCGGATAATTTGGATGCGGAATTGGGTCAAAGGAAGCTCAATTTTATCGAGCTGCGAATGCTCATGGTAGCCACGAATTGGTCGGATACATGGGCAATGGGACAGTTGGCTATTGCTGGTCATGTAAGTGCTCAGAATTGGTTTTTCAATTTGGAGTATGAACATCGTTTCTTAAACTTCTTAATTACTTAAAATGTGGTTGAATCTGTGCGTACCTTTCTGGTCTGTTCGATTGATTGCTCAGGGCAGGGCTTTGCTAGATTGGCATAGAACATCACGTTTCTGTGGGCATTGTAGAGAAAGGACAGTCCCAATGGAAGCTGGGAAGCGAAGGGAATGCTCCAATCAGTCATGCAAATTGAGGATTTTCCCTCGTGTGGATCCTGTGAGATCATAATCCTTTGCTTTTATGATTGCTGAACCTCTGCATGCTGACGGCTATGTATAAATCTTGTTCATTGCAGGTTGTTATCATGTTAGTCATTGACCAGGAGAACGACCGCGCACTCTTAAGCAGGCAATCGAGATATGTGCCCCGAAAATGGAGTTGCTTAGCTGGTTTTATGGAGGTACCTTTCTTTGCCAATGGCAAGAAGAATGATAGAAATAATACATTTGATAGAATAAGACTTCTAGCACTAATGAATATAACTAGTTTATTTGTAGTATGATATCATGTGTTGTGAGATCTCACGTCGGTTAGGGAACAAAACATCCCTTGTAAGGGTGTGAAAATCTATCCCTAATAGATGCGTTCTAAAACTTTGAGGGAAGCCTAAAAGGGAAAGCCCAAATAGGACGATCTATCCCTAATAGATGCGTTCTAAAACCTTGAGGGAAGCCTAAAAGGGAAAGTCCAAATAGGACAATATCTGCTAACGGTGGGCTTGAGCTGTTACAAATGGTATCTGAGCAGCGGTGTACCAGTGAGGATGTTGGGCTCTCAAGAGGGGTGGATTGTGAGATCCCACGTTGGTTGGAGAGGGGAACAAACCACCCTTATTATAAGGGTGTGTAAACCTCTCCCTAGTATAGACACGTTCTAAAACTTGGATGGAAAGCCCAAGTTGTTACATGTATTTCATGAACTAGAGAATTCATTGATTTGCTTTTGTAATTGCCATCAGCCTGGAGAAAGCTTGGAAGAAGCTGTGATAAGAGAAACATTGGAAGAGACTGGTATTGAAGTTGGAAAGGTGGTCTATCACAGTTCTCAGCCATGGCCAGGTCTGTTCATTCTGAAAGTACAGCTTCTTAACTACACCTTTGCACTATCTGTTGGTACTTTCGAAACAAAAACGCTCATTTTTCATGTTTCTCATCGAGATATATATATATATGTATCTGTAATCTATCTTTTAGGCCATCAGTTTGAATCTTCGTTTAAATTGTAATTCTTTCTCAGTTGGACGAAGCACAATGCCGTGTCAATTGATGGTTGGGTTCTTTGCGTATGCAAAATCGCTCGATATCAAGGTGGACAAGGCTGAGTTAGAAGGTATATTGACTAATGTTCACATTATTTGCATTATAATGTCGCCACTTCTAGCTTTCTTTCTAAGACAACTCTTGAAATTCTCGTTCACTTTGAATGGATCTGAATTGGTTGAAACTTTGTGTACAGACGCCCAATGGCACACCAGAGAAGATGTGAAGAAAGCTTTAACATTAAGCGACTACGAGAAGACGCAAAGATCTGCAGCAGCCAAAGTCGAACAACTGTGCAACAGAGTTGAAAGCAGACACAGTCAGTCTGCTGATATCAACGCTGAAGATGGTGGACTTGCTTCCATGTTCTTTCCTGGCCCTCACGCAATCGCTCATCAACTTATCTCCTCTTGGGCTTATCAAGACGATGGAAAATGAAGCTGAAACTCATATGAATCAACCTTCCAGGCTGAGTTTGATGTAGCATTTTGGCTTTTGAGGCTAGTGAGGCTAGTTCGAGTTGCATAGCTCTGGGCATTGGCATTGACAGCACATATTCATTGTTCCTTGCAAACAAATTGCAGTTCTTTGAGGCAGAATCCTTGTAATTTTTCTTGTTTCATTGTCTGAAAATACAATGCAGCAGGTGGATATTCTTCACATACTAGTTTCTACCAAAGGGAAAAAGTAGAGCTTCTAGTTTTGAGCCATTGATAGCTCCAATTTTCTTATCTAAGAATACATAAATGATGCAGCTTCTGAACAAGAGAGAAAAGGCTAAGCTTTCTCATGTAAGTTTCCTGTAGATCTAGACCATTTAATGGCTGCTCTGGCCAACGCATCCATGGGGTCAATACATTTCTTCAGAATAGGATCATCTGGAGGAAGAAGATTAAGCAATTCATCAGAAGCAAGTATTACTATGTTCACAGCCCTTATCAAAAGAATATGAACAGCAATCCTCAACAGATTTCTTGCTCCTTCCTGATCCCTTTTGTTCAAAGCTTCAACTGCAGGAACTAAAATATGCTTTATGGTTGCTTCGTCTGGCAAGACAACCTCAAAGCCCTGAAGAAACAAAATGAAATCAGAACCAAATTCTGGAATCATTTACTAAATAGATCTGAATGTATTTAACAAAACCTGATTTTGTAGTCTCTCACGGTAAAAACCAGTCACTATAGCTGCATCAGTCGCAAGCAGCCCAATCCGGACACTGCTCCCTGCTTCAAGTGGCTTAAGCTTAGCCTCTTTAAGCTCCATAGCAACACAATCTCCCACATGAAGGAAAGGTAATTTACAACTTGTGTCACCAAGCCACCTATGCGAAAGATGGCAAGGTGTAATTAGGCACCGAGCTCCAGATTGCTCGAGAAACACGCATTTTTGCTTCAAAATCTCGATGATGGGAGCATCAGTCTGAGCATGTTGAGAAGAATTTGCGGTGAATGTAGTCAATGAAGTGAGAGGTGGGATCCCTTTGCCTAATGCTGGATCGCTGCAGACAACAAATGGTATGCTCTGTTGTCCATCCTTCAAGCTCCACCACACGAGCTTTTCCAAGAAAAGTAGAGTAGAAATAACCGATACTCCTCCTATGACACCCACGGTATTTGGCTGGACAAGAAGCGGCTTAGGAGCTCGACCTTTTGACACAGACTTTCCTGCACTTGATATCTTCTTGGACACTGGTAAGTTATCATTCTCATCCGTTTGAACAACAGAGAAAATCTGTAGAGATGAATACGGGTTTAATCTCCTTCTAAAGCGAGTAATGCTTTCGTTAGCATTTCGTCGAACGGGTGCGGGGCAATTCAGTGCATAAAAGGGCATGGCCATCCCTCCATCAAGCATCCTTTATGTAAAGAGCAAGAATTTCAGTGGGATTCAAACTAAGCAGCCATATTTCTCCTCAGAACAGATAGATAATTCAATGGGTGGAAAGAAATAGAAATTTAACTCATGCCCCAAAACCAAAACCCAAAAATCTGTCAGGATAAAAATATGAAGAAAGACATGATATTTACACGAGAGTCCATGGAAGTACAAAGGTTGTATGGCGCAAAACTAGGTAAGACAGGAAGAGAAGCTCCAGGAAGTGCGGTGATTGAATTTGATAGTGAAAATGAAAGGGAGTCGGAAAGAATCTTACATTATTGTAAATCTGTCACGCTGTCAACCTTTTGAGCAGTGAAGCGCTGTCAACCGTTGAAGAGAAGGATGACAAAAATGAAGGTCTGGTCAGTGGGGCATAGCACTGGATAGGCTCACTCTCCTCATGCTCACTTCAAAATCTTGGATAAATTATATATATATATATATTTTAGTTAAATGAAAAGAAAGTAAAAATTAGAAATTATGGATAAACAATAAATTTATATAAATTTGGTTATGTAATTAATATAGTAAGAAATCTTAATTGAACGATTTCATGCAAATTTTGTTTAACGTTCATTAATAATAAA